TTGAATTAGTAGTTTTTCCGAAGGTTGTTGGTTGTTGGTTCCACATCAGGTCGGTTGTTAACCAGTTTGGCCATGGAGTAGAAAAGTGGAGAACGAACGAGGTGGTCAGCCCTGGGAGTGGGCAACGCTCCGAGTGGTAGATTGGAGCTATTCTATACATACTGCTTTACTTCGGAACTTTGATAGCGCGATTTAGGCTTCGATGTGTTTCGCTTTTGGCGCGACGACAGTGCCGCCACACAAGTTTCTTCTCAGACAAGTTTTACCACGTGTTCGGCACTTACAATTAAAATTAACTATAGTTTTATTATTCATTCGGTTTGTTCACGTTCTACAAATTTTGAGGGCGAGAGCTCTTCTATCTCATCCATTTCTGTCCCATTATACATCTATATATCTATACGTCATTTGTCTAATAGAGGTAAGCGTGATTGTTGATCATGAGGTCCTGGGTTAAAATCCCAGGTCACGCCAAAGTCAGCTGGGTTATTCTGTCAAGAAATTCTCAGTAGCAATAGAGTCGGAAAGTTGACGGTATTTTACCCACGTGCCTCAAAAAGCACGTAAAGCCGTTGGCCCTGCGCCTTATCTCTTTCCGGTCGTGTCGGATTGCCGTCCTATCGGACTTTGAGAGTGCGAGCATAGACAGTACACCTGAGCCTGCGCACATACTTGTGCACTATTATCTTGTCCTACGGCTAGTCTCCGTTGATAGTGGCACTACTGAATTTTATTAATGTAAATAAAGTACTTTAAAAATCAATTCAGTTTCACAAGGGGTCGCTCGACAACTGATGCTGGTGTTGAGCTGATTAAATAAATGAATATCTTCAATGCATCTGAAAATTTATCCTGTATATTCTGTGACCTGTCCAAAGCCTTCGATTGTGTTCACCATGAAAAATTAATCTGGAAACATCAACACTACGGTGTAAGAATTCATGCTCTTAAATTAATTATTTCGTATTTAAGTATGAGAACGCAAAAAGTTTTCATTAATAGCATGAGCTCTTCCGGGTCGATAGTACAAATGAGCGTGCTTCAAAGCTCAGTTCTCGGCCCCTTTCTGTTTCTTGTTTATATTAATTAAGGGATAGCCATATTATAGTATTATTTGCTAATAACACTTCATTAATTTTCCAATTAAAACAACAATTACTAAAATATGACAAAGTAAATAATGCTTTATCTAAATTAGTGAATTGGTTCAATGTTAATAATTTGCATTTAAATAACATTAAAACGAAATGTATGAAATTCATGACTCCAAATGTCAAACAATTAAATACTAAAGTAATTTTAAATAGGGAGAAACCGAGTATTGTCGATACTACCTTTTTTCTTGGAATAACACTAGACGCGAAGCTTCAATGGTGCCCTCATATATCAAAATTAGCAAGCTTACTTAGTTCTGCAGCATATGCTGTAAAAAGATTAGAAATCTTACCAGTGTTGAAACAGCTAGCATGGATTTACTTTAGTTATTTCCATAGCATTATGTCGTATGGTATTTTGCTATGGGGACACGCGACTGACACTGAAATTATATTTGTTTTACAGAAGAGGGCCATAAGAGCAAACTATGATTTAAAACCTAAAGAGTCGCTCCAATAAAAGTTGAAGGTAATTAATATATTAAATTTGGCCTCTCAATACATTTATGAAAATGTAATGTACGTGCACAAAAATAAAATTAGTTTTACAAAAATAATTGCTATTCATAATGTATATACTATGAACAGGCACAAGTTAGTAGTAGGTACCAGTTACTCGACTCCACCGAGTCAGTAATTCATTCTTGAGGCGATGTATACGCTTTTACAACAAAATCCAAGAAAAAATACAAAATTTGACCTGCTCAAAGTTCAAAAACTTAATTAAAGTAAGTTTGTTTAATAAGGGTTATTATAATATTCAGGAATTGGATGATAATAACCCCTGGAAATGAGATCATCGCTACCAGGCTATTTCTAATTTGTTTTGTATTGTTAATTGTGTAACATACATGATTGTAAGCTGTTATTTAAAAAAAAGTCCCGCTGGGTTTCTTGTTGGTTCTTCCCAGGACAGAGGTTGTTTTTTCGAACCAGTGGTAATTAAACATAAGAGTGACTTTTAATAAGTATAATTTATAATCGACATTGAATAAAAAAGTTTAAGTAAAGTTTCTGTTTCTGTTCAAATAATTATTCTGGATGGGAACTGTACCCGCTACCCTACGCGCAACAGGTAGTCTAAGCACTACGCTTACGGGAACGGCTTTAAAACACGATATTTTTTGCATGACAAGATTTTGTTCAAAATAATCCTGCTATATTTTATCTAAAATGTTGTGTATCCCTAACTATTTTCTTTCTTTCTACTCCTAAACAAATATAGCAGGTTTAATTAATTCCTTTTTACTGTTTGCTTTTTTATGAACGGCTTTTCTCGCAATTACTACTATAAAGTCTCAGAAATTAACTACCGTAACATCTTAATTAAACATTTTTGTCATTTATAAATTAAAACAAAAAAAATTAGCTACAAAATTTTTCTATTACATGTAAAACTCGCAAAGGAGAATGGAATTTTTGGGCCTGAAGTTAACAAATTGGTTTATACTTTAAAAAATTGCCCATACTTTTCTTAAGTAAAATACGAAAAAAAAGTAGCTCTTTTTACAATCTAGATTTCGAAAAAACAATAAAATAAGAAATAAGTTAGAAAATCGATTGTAGTGTCTTCTTTATGGCAATAAATTGATTACCATAAAGAATACACTAGTGAAATTCTCGTTTGTGAATGTTATCTTCTAATAGACAACAATAGATCTGACTTCTTATTTTGAAACTTGTCAGTTCAAACATTAAACTATTTACTTAAAAGAAAAAGACAGATTTTCGATTCGATTTGAAACGAGCGCAATATAGTCGATTCTCTATTAAATTGAGCATTTTAATATATATTGTCGATTATTTTTCTGTGTTAACTAAAACATTTGCGTACATATCTACAAATTAATAAAAAAAAATACAAAATATTAAAATTCCAATAAGTAACAGTTACAACAACAATTCAAGTAATCGATCTCAGATCGATATCCCTAATATTCACTTCTCTTAGTTGTTGTTGTTTTAACTTTCGTTATGTAATCGTTTCACCATTGAGTTTCATTATGAACCAGACCTTTTTTGGTGATTTTATAGTAATCTTGGTTTTATATCTTTAAGTAATTATAGTGAAAATAGCCTGTTACAGTGTAATTACAGTGAAAAATCACCTGTTTAGTGTAATCTCACTTTTACTTATTCTACAATAACTCAGCTCCTAGATTGACAAATCTTGCCAGATTTTCAGTTATGAATTGTTTATATATACGCTTTCAAATGACTCTAATTTCATCTTGTTAACACTTAGGCCCAAGAATGTATGGAGACGTCTCCTTTTCCTTTGGACTGAGGTCGTGCTTTCATATTCATCATCAACATAATTACTACCTGCTTCCTTCATTTCATCAACTTCCTGCATGTTTCGCTTACCGGTACGAAGCTGCCATTCGCAAAGAGAGATTTCTCGGAAATGGCTGAATCGATTTTAATGATTCTTCCTATAATTAATAAGGCTTAAGGAAAAAAAATAGACGAAATTCAACTTACCTTGTATTTGTAATACTTCCTTAGTCCACTAAAAGAGGTAAAATAATTAAACTTATGAAATAAAGTAAAACTGACTTCTAAAACATTAAAAATTATCTATATACTAGCGGTCGCCCGCGGCTCCGCCCGCGTGGATGTCGGTTACCGCTGCAAAAAGCCTACCCAGGAAAGACACGGTCAGCAAACAAAATGATTCCCAGGTCAATTCACAGACACCGACACTAACATCGACGAAGCAGTCACTATCCGCAGGCTGAACAGATTTTCTTTCTGTGGATGTTATTTGTTAAGCCCCGGAGTGCAACCTGTTGTTTTAGGATAGAAAACTTAAGCTATTATTGTAGAGCTTCTCTATACACAACATTTGACGTTATATTATTTTCTGGTAACAAAATATACTGATGGTCGGGAGCCCCGACCCGTGATAGGGCAACGTAAAGTTGCCCATGCGTAAAACATTCTTTTCGTAAATCAATTCCTACTAATTTGAATGTTTGGCCCTGGGATTTGTTTATCGTGAGTGCGATAGAAATTTTTACTGGAAATTGGAGCCTTTTGAAGGGTATAGGCAAATCAGTAGGGATCATGGGTATTCTTGGTATATGAGCTAATTCACCAGCTGCAGGGCCGGTGATAATCTTCGCAACTATTAAATTATCTTTTAGCTCCTTTATAAGAAGTCTCGTGCCATTACACATGTTGGGGGGTCTTAAATTTCTGAGAAGCATTATCGGCGTGCCAACTTTTAACGACAGTTCATGAGGTGGAAGCCCAGCGGAGTTCAGAGAATTTAAAAATTCCTGGGGGTAGTGCACTGCGTCCTCGATGTTAGTGACGGTGTCTATGGATTTATAGCACTTAACTTCACCCGGTACTTTCTGCATAATTAAATTGTTTATTTCGTTGACTGTTTCATTCCTGGGAGAAGCTATTGCTCTACAACACAGCCAACGAAAATCATTTTGATGTAAGTTTTCGATGTCATGATATATAGCATCTATCAGACTATCTAAATTATAGACTATTTGCCCTAGAGACTCATCCAAAGTAACCGCATAATCGGTGCCCAAATTTAAAGATGGAAAAATTCCTTCTCGCAGTTTCAGCAGCTGTTGTGGAAAATTGCTATGCGTATTTCCATGTAGATGAGCTCTCATATTAGTACGCAAATTCAAATGTTGAACAGATGTCCAAAGGTGAGACGATTTTAAACATGCCTTCATAATATCTGCTCGCGTACCTCTGTTGACGACAGGAAGCGTTTGTCGGAAATCTCCAGCAAATACAAAAGTGATACCACCCATGACATTAGCAGAGCTTCGGAGGTCTTTTAAAGTACGGTCCACGGCCTCCACATGAGCTCTATGACCATGAGTCATAGAGCTCATGTGGAGCCATGAGCCATATTACCAACGACGCGTCTTGCAGCAACTTACCAAGAGGCCCATTTTTCCGAATAGAGCACGTAGACCGTTGATCTAAAGATACGGATAGCGGGAGTTTAAACGTAGAGTGAGCAGTTTTTCCTTCGTTCAAGAGAGTTGCAGCAATTCCTGACGAAGCAACTGCAATCGCTATCTTCCCTGATTGCCGTATCTTAGCAAGTATCAAATTTGCGAGAAAAGTCTTTCCGGTGCCTCCTGGTGCGTCCAAAAAAAATAATCTCCCCATGTTATTGTTCACGCTGTCCACAATAGTCTCATAAGCATGTCTTTGATCTGGTACTAATTTTGGCACATTGTCATTAACAAACGCTGTTAGATCATTGCTGTTATACTGTTGTACTATTGTGTCAATAGTATTATTCTGGGTACGAACGGGAGAAGGTAATCCAAAATCACTTAAATTTTTGTCGTTTAGTTCTAGAAGTTTGTTTTCTATTTCAATTAATACTTCATTATAAATGACTTCAGTGAAGGGTGAAGTGTTATCCTGATTTTGTTGTCTGATACGATGTCTAATATCTTCACAGAACTGATCTTTGAAAGTATCCCATAACTTCAATGGTTCCGATGGTTGACAAAATAAAAGTATGATTACGAACAACTCCCTTAGTTTTTTTGGACAATGTGATAACGAAGCTTCGCTTAAAGTGTTACCCCAATGATCATCGTTTTCAAGTAAACCTCGGTCACGGCAAGCTGCTTGATACGTCTCTTTGACAATACCGTTTACAGTTTTAAGGTATGCAAATGAGGTCGGACCGCGTACGTGGTGCAGTAGAATCCTAAGATAAAAACACTCTGATTGGGATGGATGTATCCCGTAGACTCTACCTAAAGCGGCATCTTTTTTTATCCCCGGATGTCCAACTACATCTTCACCACGCTTCCTTCTAGTGAATGTATTATTTGCCCATGTATAGTATTGCGGGACTTCATGATACAGAAGAGTTTTCGCGAATTCATCTTCATTACAGAGAGCAAAAAATGCCAGTAATGTGGTATTGCGTGGATTTTGGACAACTTGATGAGCTGTCCCTGGTGTAAAATACACCCTTTGACCGTTCTCTAGATGAACGGCCAAATGCACTACAATAGGATGCCGCTCGTGAATGGGAAATTCAAATAAGCGCCAGACAGCTTCAGATGTGCTTATGTACCTGCCATTTAAATAGTTTTCGACCTCATCGTGTGGGTTTCTAAGGCTAAAAGTTGCCTGATCTGAACCTTTATTTATATACTTACATATATATTTAATGGCTTGGACAGAGTGGCAATACTCCACGTTTATATGAGTGTTAAAAGTCTTACATAGTAGCGGGGAGTATGGAACAATCCACCTATTATCTATCGTCACCATGTTGCCCCTGATTTGTAGCGTAGTGCTCCGACCGCCATTTCCTGTATCGCGCCTACGATAAACTGGATACCCATCCTCTCCGGTCTGGGTATCGTTCATGAAACGGCGAGGGTAATTTTTTGTGCAGACACCGTTCTTCATGCATGGTGCAGCTAAATTATGTTCTCCGCAGGGTCCATGTACCATATTTTTAGTTATAATGTCGTGTAGTACCGGATCAATTTGTTGATCGGGTAGCTCCGCAACTATGAAACTGTCGATCTCATCTGGTTGTATTTTAGTTTCTAGCCAGAACAGCAAATGACAATGAGGTAAACCGCGCTTTTGCCACTCCACACTTGCCATATAACATTTTACTTTACCGAATATCTGTTCTTTGACAAATAATTTGATGAATTTCTTCATCTTTAAATGAAATACACGTGAAATTATGTCATGACGGTCGAAAGACCGTTGTCCTGGTAGCAGCTCGGCTTTTATTTCAGGCCATTCGGGGTTACATGTAAAAGTGACAAATAAGTCAGGTCTACCATAATTTCGAACGTACGTCATCGCGTCCTGCGTTTTCTCGTGCATGAAACGCGGAGAACCCGTAAATGACGATGGCAATACGACATGTTGACCGATATTTGATGGGTCAACATTTGCGTCATGATTTAAGGCATCTCTGAGATGAATGTAGTCATCAGCCCTCAGTCTTTGTTGATTCCGACAAATATAATTTAATCTTTCCGATATCATTTTCGCCATCATGTCAACACAATATTGACTAAATAAGTCTCTGTAATAATGTAACGGATTAAAAGAGTTAGTTCTAATCATTAATCTAAATGCATAAAATTGCATACACGAAACAGTTTTATTACGCGCAGAACCCTGCTGAGGGATAGTCAAATAATAACCGTCTTCTCCTGTCACAAACATTATAGGATACTGTAGTGGATCATAGGACCGATGTAGCTCAGAAACTCTTTTGAGCTGCCCGTCTCTACCGTGTAAGCCTATATCCCTGGGACCTTTGTCTTCATCGACCAAGAGAACAGCTACCTCGTTTACAGTAGGAGCATTATATCTGCCTCTGTGTGCTGTCTGTGAAGTGCGATCTGAATGAATAATTAACTTTAAATTATCTGAGGAGTTAAGTTCTAAGTTTTGTTTAAAACTTCGTATGTACACGTTATGATTATTTAAAGCGGTCTGTAATTCGTGAATTAAATCCATTTTTAAGGTTGGTGCGATGCTTGATCGCAACGATAACTGGTCTGCATCCGAAATAAAATATATTTGCAAGAACTGTGGGTTTTGGCCTGATGGTGGTAAAAGGCTACCAATTAGATGATACACTTGTCCTTCAATTTTAAAAGTGGGCATAAAATTTCCTTCCCTGATTTCTTTTGCGCCAAACGAAGTCATTTGAAAAAGACTATTGTATTTACGTATGTTTGTTAAAAAATGCCCAGATAATGGATGGTTATTAGTCAAAAGATTTTTTATTGGTTGTGGCGGCTCCTGCAGGTTAGGAAGACAAACTTTACCTGAAGCACAGCACATACCATTAGGTTCGTCCGCCCATTTCTTGGCAGAGCAGTTAGAGCAGATCTTATTCATGACTCCGATTTGGACGGACGCTTGTTGTGCATAATCAAACTGCGGATCATATCTGAAAGCCAGTCTGTTGCTGTTAGCTAAAATTCGATTGTGAACTCTATTTGTGGACAACTGCTGTCTCTCTGCCTGAGCTCTAAGTCGCTGCAAACGCTCGACACTCGACTCTCTTTCGCGCAACTGAGAGGTCCTTATATTTTGTTCATGAAGACGTTGGGAACGCTCCAGGCTCGACTCTTGAGCGCGTAGCTCAGAGGTTCTCAAGCTTTGTACGGCAAGGCGTTGCGAACGCTCGACACTCGACTCTCGTTCGCGTAAGTCAGAGGTCCTTACATTTTGTTCATGAAGACGTTGGGAACGCTCCAGCCTCGACTCTTGAGCGCGTAGCTCAGAGGTTCTCAAGCTTTGTACGGCAAGGCGTTGCGAACGCTCGACACTCGACTCTCGTTGGCGTAAGTCAGAGGTTCTTACATTTTGTTCATGAAGACGTTGGGAACGCTCCAGCCTCGACTCTCGTGCACGTAACTCAGAGGTTCTCAGATTTTGTTTTGCAAGGCGTTGTGAACGTTCGACACTCGACTCTCGTGCGCGTACCTGAGAGTTTCTCTGATTTTGTTCAGCAAGGCGTTGTGAACGTTCAGGTGAAGATTCTCCCATACGACGTATTTTTGCTACCCGTGCTTGAGAACTATGTTTAGAAAGTTGAGACCTGGCTCTCTTAGGCATTTTCAAATGTTTAAGATAATGTTATTAGCGTGTAATATTCTAGCTCTAAAAAGAACTGTTGGTTAGCCCTGAAAAGAACTGTTGGTAAGCCCTGAAAAGAACTGTTGGTTAGCACTGAAAAGAACTGTTGTTTAGCTCTAAGAAGAACTGTTGTTTAGCTCTGAGAAGAACTTTTGCGTAGGTGTAGTTTAAAGAACGAAACCTAAAAAAAATCGCACGAAAATTATTAGACTTCACGCACGACCGCTGCGTAGGGAGCCGACCGCGCGATTGAGCCGCGCGGGTACCTTACTCATAGATCTAAACTCCCCCTCCCACACGCTCACCGGGCCTTGGTAACGCCTACTTCGCAACGGGCCGTGCAGCAGAAATCGTAATATTTTAATTTCGCTATAACTTCAGAACCAAACGTCCAATTTTAATCATTCAAAGACCAAATATTATCTACATTAACTGTACTTAGTGATGAAATAATTTATTTTGATAAGAATTAATAGCATGAGTAAAATAAACGCGTTTAAATGTAGTCCAAAAAAAAATCAAGATTTTTCAATAAAAAAATGGTTATTGTGCCTCACTCGACATAGATAGGTATAGTGTGTCGCGGACTACTTTTTTGTAGATATTTATAAGATCTACAATTACTTAGAACATTTTATGGTTCTATCTTTAATAGTTTAGGCAGGGTACGCAAAATAAGTAACTTTTTTGGTTGATTTTTTACACCTTGTGTCCGAAAAACCCTAATATCTTACGGAACCCTATTTTTGTTCAAAATTAAATATAGCCTATATTACTCGTGGATAATGTAGCTTTCGAATGGTGAATGAATTTTTAAAATCGGTCCAGTAGTTTATGAGCCTATTCATTACAATCAAACAAACAAACAAACAAAGTTTTCCTCTTTATAATATTAGTGTAAATTATAGCTTCCGGAGTCAATATGACTCAAGTCAATGTAAGAAAACAATATGTCTTAGCACAGACTTCAGAAGATACAATATGGAACCTATCTTATTTTATTTTTTTGTTTCTGAAATTTACTTTACTTTTTTACAGTTTAATCATATTCAATGTTTATGTAATTTGGTATTATTTTATAAAATCATTGAGTTTAGTTATTATAATTAAGTTTATTTATCGTGGTGCCTCTCAGGAATAAGTGGTTAGCGTATAGCTAGGACTGGTTACGCTTACATAGCATAGATTTTACATTACTGGATAGATACAATATTTTTATCTCTGATATTGTTGTTGTTGAATGTGTTCAATATCTTTCGTTACTTTCACTAAAGTATTTTATTTCAGTCATAAGCAAACTTAAAGAAGAAAGCAAACGGCCTTATAAATATGGTGCCCGTTCCCTAATAACAAATCTTCAATTCAACCGGCGCCTACAGAGGCCTATGTTTTATTAAGGAACCGAGTCGTCAAGCACCAGCTTAGACTGCAAATAACAGCTACTGTCAAAGCGCCACAAATACAAATGTGCTGCCGAGAATAGATATTTTTATCAGGGTCTAGAGTTTTACATCGCATTTAAAACGTCTGGTTGCTCTGTGCTTCCAGTGCTCTGTGCTTAAATTATATACAATGAATCATTAATTGCAGCCGATCGAAGTCCACTGCTAACTATAGACCTCCCCCATAGATCACATAATATCCCCTATATTTGACATAGTTAGCTTGGCCGGCGGGTTGGCAACCGCAGTTTTTTGTTATTTGGAGGCATTCTTAGGAAGATGCTGCTGTACATCTCCTGTTACGTTTCTCTTTGTCACGTTTAATCACACTCAATCACTAGTTTCAGCTTTAAGTGATCATTTTTACCTGACATCATAGGCATATTCTCTATATTATTCAAATACAGGTGAGTTGTCTACTTTAAACGGAAAGTCCTGCCCTCAGCTGAGGGCAGGACTTTCCGTTTAAAGTAGACTAAGCTTCATTTAAAAAAAAAACAGAACTACTAACCGAACATGCAAACAAGCCACGCGTACACATTTAATTTAAACGGGTAATTAATTATTTTGAAGGTTTTATCAACAGCAATTCTAATTAGATACATTATTAGCATTAAAGATTATAATTCATTTTGATAAAATCGACGAGCCGAAGTATGATGGAGAAATATTTAAGTAATGTACTTAAAAGGATATTAATTTTTATTATCATGATTTCTATTTATGTCTTCTTCGTGGCATGAAAGTGGATATTGCATAATATTAAAGCATCTTTTATCGACCGGTCTTGCGATTCGTATGTGACAGTCACCAATCTGTCGAAAGGCAAAATCTCTAGCTCAATACCCTATTATGTACGCACACTTTAGTCGTTAGTAAGTCAGTTTCAATAACTAGTTATTTATTTAATTTACTAACTATTTTTATCGTGTGCATAAAACACAAACTATGTTAATTACTTTATTGTTGAAACATTAATGTACAAATTAATCTAAGCTACCATGAGTTAATTTCTGATAGTTAAAATAACAAAAACTGTTTTAAATAAGTGTATGTTATTTATATGAGAGCGAAAGCGTCAAGGTCATTTCATTTCTAATAGTTACAATTAATTGCTATAGTAAAAAAATTTAATCGGTATTTGGTATGTCTTTGTTATTATTTACATTATAGCATAAGCCTGGGAGGCTTACAGCGCCATGTCAAATTAAATACATATAATATTATATGTATGATCTGTAAATTAGAACAAAACAATGTCTACATTGAAAATGCCTTTTTAGATTCCCAAGTGGTTGCGTAATCACTAATCAGACATGATATAGTTTTAATGAGGAATGTAAATAAATTAAAAATATGATTAATATAATTATAACGTGACTATTAAATGAAATAATAAAATAATTCACGTGAAAATTGCTTCCTTATTGTTAAGAGTTATGTGAGAATTGTTATAGAAAGTAATGTAGAAAATTTTGATAGCATCATATGTAAAAGTGGCAGTAGAAAAAATATAGTAGTGAAAGATTTACATTACTGTACACAATTTTTTTTTAATTACTTTAAGCCAGTGCCTGTGAGTGAGCTATTCTATGATGGTATCTGCTGCTCTCTGTACCGGATTCCAGATAAAAACCTTCCAAGTGTAAATAAACTTAAATTCCATGATTTGGTTATGGGTGATACCTTCGCACGGTAACGCCGATCATCGGTGCGAATTTATCATAGCTCTGCACTCACCAGTGCATGTAAATATGGACAAAAATCAAGCGAGTGAGTTGTGTAAAAGTATCATGCCAAATGGAAATTCATAGTCTCTGCCCACCCCTCTGAGTGACAGGCGTGAAGTCTATGTAAAGTACAAGTTAACTTACATTTTGAAACTAAAGATTTATCGTAGTAATAGTCTTTGTAATACTATCTTTTAAAGTGCCTATAAAACCCAACTTTTATGGGCACTACTGGGTAGCAAAATAACGCAACACCACGGCAGAGTATCACATTCGTTATCTCGATGTCCAAGCTTGCCATACTAGCACTCATAATTATGTGCAATAAGTTATCCGTGCACTCATTTTTCTTTTACATTTCTGTCACATTAATATTTTGTTGTAATTTATTGACTGTATGTACTGTTTATGTAGGTACTGATGAATGTAGGTATGTTCGAATTGTTGTGATGGTGTAAGAACATTCACATAATATGAGTGTATGTCGTAAGAGGGTGGGTGTCGTAAGAGGCAACAGGGGAAAACTGACACATGAGATTGGCAGCAGCATCTTGTTGTTAATAGCTCAAAATAATAAATAAAACTTTGGTTACCAAATCGCCTGCCAAAAATACCTACTACCCCGTAGAAATTTGACGGCTCCGTGGCGCAGTGGCTTAGCAATGAGTTGCAGCGACAAGGGCCGTGGGTTCGAATCCTGCACGGAACAAAATATTTGTATAGCCTACAAATAATTCTTCCGGGTCTGGATGTTTGTCTTCAGCCGATCTGGGAAATCAATGGCCAGGGCCACCGCGACCTTTATAAGGCACTAGAAACTATGTATTTGTAAAGACTTTAACATACTTGAAATAAGGTTCAATTTTCTTTATTTTGTATTGAATGACGGAATTTGTATTAATACAAATAAAACTGCACTTTTAAAAGTCTTATTGCCTTGAGTAACGGTCCATTTCAGTTTGTTTTGACTGTACAGATTTAGTGTGACTGTAAATTACGTAGTTTCAATTATTTTTGGAATAAAAAATTATCTATTTTAAAAATGTTAGAAATCGATTCAGTAAACGATTCTGAACAAACTACTTTCAGGATGTGAATTAATTATGTTACGTGTTGTATAAACTGCCCCCACGATACAGGAGAAAATCCTAGTGTGGAGGTAACGTTTAAAAAACGAAACAGGAGATGAGTAGGAGCACCATCCTGATAACAACTTAAAGTTATAAAATACTATTTTTTACGTGGTAGAGCCATGCTGCAGCAATATTAGTAGTAAAGTTGTAGTAAGAATGGGTCGGCTCGACCGGGGAAGGACCACGCTCTCACAGAATACCAGCGTAAAATAGCAGCTTAACGCTGCTGTGTTTCGTATGGTGAGTGTAGAGAACCGGAGACCCTTTTTACTGGAAATGAGGCATTCCATCTTAGTCCTCACGGGTGACAACGCATCTGCATTTTGATTTGTAATAGAGGATAGATGTAGATGTCTATGGGCCGCAGCAACCACTTACCATCAGGTGGACTGTGTGCTCGTTTGTCACCATTATCCTATAAAAAAAAAGTTATAAAAACTGCGGTTGCCAACCCGCCAGCTAAACGTGCCAGCTATGGCAAAGTCCCCCCCAATGGGGCTGGACAATAAAATTAATGATAGTTAATTGAAAATTGTTTTATACGTCTGTTACAAACGAAGTGATATTGCAATGTGTTGCGGTATTAGATGATTCATCACCTTGTTTTCGCCTCGTGGGTATTACTCGGACAGCAGTTAAATGCAAATATCCGCAGCGCAATGTGGTTTAGTGTT